AGGGTTTAGGGTTTAGGGTTTAGGGTTTGCTCTGCCTGTACACCCCAACCCAGCTAACCAGAGGGAGAATATCTTAATACAAATTAAACTCATACTAGCTAGCTAGCTAGCTAGCTAGCTAGCTAGCTGGTTGAGGGTTTAGGGTTTAGGGTCTAGCTGCAGCAACAGAAGCAAGAAGGTGGTGTCCTTCGCTGCTGCTGCTGAGGCTTACAGCTGTTGCTGCTGCTGCTGCTGCTGCTGCTGCTGCAGCAACTGCTGCAGCAGCAACGGCTATGCTTCTCTTTACTAACCCAGCTAGCTAGCTAGCTAGCTAGCTAGCTAAGAAGACAGTGGCTAGCTGGGTGGGGGCCTGGGGTCTAGGGTTTGGCTCTCAGGCTTTCTAAGGCAAACCCTAAACCCTAAACCCTAAACCCTAAACCCTAAACCCTAAACCCCCAACAGGTTGCCTCTAGGCAGGTTGAGGAAAGGGTTTAGCCGATACAGAGAACCCTTGCTGTTGCTGCTGTTGCTGCTGCTGCTGCTGCTGCTGCTGCTGCTGCAGCAGCAGATTTTTGCTGCTGCAGCAGACGTTTGCTGCTGCTGCAGCAAGAGGCGATGTCAACGCCCCCTTGGGGCTGGAGCAGCCAGCTAGCTAGCTAGCTAGCTAGCTACGCTACTCCTAACCAGCTAGCTACCAGGAGGCTGGCCGCTCGCCAGCTCGCCAGCTAGCTAGCTAGCTAGCTAGCTAGCTAGCTAGCTAGCTGGGCCCCCAGGGCACAACTGTAGAGGGCCCCCAGCGATAGAATACTTGCTAAGTACCAGCTAGCTAGCTAGCTAGCTAGCTAGCCGGTTACCCCGGCAGCTAGCCAGCGTGTGCTACTGTTTCTGCTGCTGCTGCTACTGCTACTACTGCTACTGTGGTCGCTGTTGCTACGAATGTTGCTGCGGTTGCTGCTGCTGCTGCTGCTGCTGCTGCTGCAGTGGCATTAGCTCTCCCAGCGATATGCCTAGCTAACTAGCTATCTAGATAGCGAGCAAGCTAGCTAGCTAGCTAGCTANAGCTCTCCCAGCGATATGCCTAGCTAACTAGCTATCTAGATAGCGAGCAAGCTAGCTAGCTAGCTAGCTATCTAGCTAGCTAGCTAGCCATGTAGCTAGCCAGCTACCTAGCTAGCTCGCTATGTAGCTATCTCATTATGTAGGTAGCTAGCTATGTAGCTAGCTAGCCATATGGCTAGCTAACCACGCTGCTAGCTAGCTAGCCAGCTGTGAATCACTCAACCTGGGTGAGTAGAGGTTGGACAAATTTTCAAATGCGCGAGGACAAACGCTGCGGCAGGCGAGATGAAGGGTTTAGGGTTTAGGGTTTAGGGTTTAGGGTTTGGGGTTTAGGGTTTAGGGTTTAGGAGTTGTGTTGCTGCTGCTCGCGTATGAACTCCTCCAGCGACATCGAGATCGCTCGCTGTAGAATTTCGTCCTCCTGCACACCAAACCCTAAACCCTAAACCCTAAACCCTAAACCCTAAACCCTAAACCCTAGACTGAGAAGGAGACTGTATGAGAAATGTAGTGTTTAGGGTTTAGGGTTTACTCCTGTGTTTAGTGTCTCGCACACGGAATGACTGTCAAGGGTTTAGGGTTTAGGGTTTAGCGTTGAGGGTTTACGTTATAGGGAAGAGGGTTTAGGGTTTAGAGATAAGGGATTAGGGTTTGGGGTTTAGGGTTTAGGGTTTAGCGTCTAGCTCGCAGGTTTAGCGTCGAGGGTTTAGGGGATAGGATCTACGGGTTAGATGTGAGGTTAAGGGTTTAGGGTTTAGAGTTGAGGGTTTAGGGTTTAGGGTTTAGGCCTGCGGGCTTAGGGTTTAGGGTTTAGGGTTTAGGGTTTACGTTTCAGGGTTTAGGGTTTAGGGTATAAACAGGGGTGTTTAGGGTTTAGACTTTAGGGTTTCGGATTTATATTTTGCGGGTTTAGGGTTTACTGTGTAGGGTATAAAAATGAGGGTTTAGGGTTTAGGGTTTAGCCTCAAGGGTTTAGGGTTTAGGGTTTAGGGTTTAGGGTTTGTGAGTCTGACGTCTTCAATAAAGGTCGCGGGTTCGATTCCCCCCTGCCGATTAAAAAAACGAAATGAAGGCTCAGGGGGGGCCATCCCCCTAACTACATCTGTTGGCCTTGCTGCTGCTGCTGCTGCTGCTGCTGCTGCTGCTGCTGCTGCTGGTGGCGTTGCTGCTTCGTCTGCTGCTGCTGCTGCTGCTGCTGCTGCTTGGCTGTCCCTCTGTATTTCTACGTCGTGACAGTTGCTGCTGCTGCTGCTGCTGCTGCTATTGTTATTCTTCTTCCTCCTGCTGCTCCTACTGCTGCTGCTGTTGCTGCTGCTGCTGCTGCTGCTGCTGCTGCCAGCAGCAGCAGCAGCAGCAGCAGACCTCCCAGTCCCCCACCGCAGCAGACTACGCGACAGCAGCGACCGTACGTTTCCTGCTGCAGCAGAATGCCCATCATTGTTGCTGCTGCTGCTGCTGCTGCTGTTGCTGCTGCTGCTGCTGCTGCTGCTGTTGCTAAGCCACGAGCGACGTCTGCTGCTGCTGCTGCTGCTGTTTCCGGCAGGCGCAGACTTTGCCGCTGCGTACAAACAAAACCCTAAACCCTAAACCCTAAACCCTAAACCTTAAACCCTAGACTCTAAACCCTAAACCCTAAACCCTAAACCCTAAACCCTCGTGCTCAGCTGCAGCAAAAAAGGAGAC